ACAAACATAATAAGTAGTGTCCAGAATTAATTTTTAAATGCTTCTGCAGGACTGCATTCTTTATTCAAAACTATCCAGTATTATCTTTACAACGTTAGTGCAGCTACAGTAGTTTACGAAATGTTTAATTATGTTTTTCATTCTGAACATTAAGATCGCTGGAAAATATTATTACCACTATTATTTAAAAAAAAATTACTACGTCAGGAAATAAATTTGTATATATATAAATATAGAATACATACAACGCTTAAGTATGCACAGGATGTTTCAACTAACCTGAAATATTTCTGTTGTTCCCGAAGTTCTAGAAAAGTGCTTCTCAAACAGATTGCTCAGGTTTGTAATAGATACGACATTTATGATTGAATAGTATTTACAAACTTTTCAAAAGAGGAAAGTTCGAATTTTAAATTGTTCAGAAGAGGAAAGTTGAAACTTCAAATATATATGTATATATGTATATATGCGAGTGGTCTAGACAGGCCAGACGGATGCATCATCGTCATCATCGTTGAGCGAGAAAGCGAAACTCGAGTCAAGCCGTTTTGCTCCTGAACGTCTCGCGAGCTCGTCAATCGAGTAATGAGCGCTCATTTTACGCGCACGATAACGTGTCTGTCGCTCGATCATGATACGTTCTCGTCTTTCTTCCTCTGCTGCTGCATCTGCCTCTGTTTCGCCGATTCTCCATCAGCCGTTTCTTCTTCTTATTCGGGAAGAAGCTCAGAGAATATTGGCGGCCTGGGATACAGCCACCGACAAGATTTCAACGTAAAGTGAAACTCCGAGTCAATGCTCGATGCAGGCGCCCGTAATCAGAATCATTGTTAATTTAATTACGGGAAGATTTAAATGAATCGATACTGAATAAAATTCAATTTTCAGCGTAGAGATGTTCTACGCGAATCAAAAGTGAGGTGAAATTGAATGAAGCATCGAAGTCTGTATTCCATTCTAAATTTTCTGTAGATTTTGTATTCTCAGGAAATGTATTAGACTTTGTTGTTTGATCATTGAGTTTGTGGAACAAGCAATGGAAAGGAGATTTTAGGAAATGCGAATATTTTTGTTAATGTTCAATGTTGTCTAACTAATGATAAATAAAATTAATTTCTATTGAGATTTTGATTTTGATAGTTAGTATTGTAATAAATTAAAATACAGTTATATTGTAATAGACGCAATTTTTATGGTAAACATATGTTCATATCGTAAATACTTTCAATTTCAAAGTTTCAAATTTGATCTATATTGCCAAATTGTGTAATTACCAGAAACAGTTGAAACATTATATATACATATTGAAGTTTCGAAGAAGTAGTAAAATATCTATTTTTTTCAATATGTTTCGAAACAAATGCTAAAAATGATTAAAAGTATTTTTAAATATTACTTCTTCCAATCACAAAATTAATTTGGATAACCACATGCCTCGCAAGATGATTTACAAATTGGTCAGTGTATCAATCAACGATAAACGTTCAGTAATGAAACAGCAATTCAGATGCTGGTCAGAAAAATATCCGCGTGGAAACTTGTGACCCAGTATTTATCAGAACCACGTTAATTATCGCATTTCATCATTTCTTACCTTGCTGTTTCCTTAATGCTATATTTCTGCGGCCACGATGAATTCAACGTAGGCGAAAGTAAGAACACTTGGCTCAATTAAGGCCTGAAAACTATTCGCGGTGTTGCGTTCTCCGACCACTTAAAAATTTCAAAAGAGGTTCTTTCAAGCCATAGAAAAAGCGAGCAAAGGAAAGGCATAAAGCGCATCTCAAGATCCTCTGGGGTACTTGGCGCTCTATAACCCAAGAGACATTTCTTAACTTTTAACAGCTAATATTCGATGAAAGAAATTTGCAAATTTAACTCGTGTTAACTCTTAGCGGCTATCACGAGTGAAATTTCACCTCATGTGAATTCTCTTTTAGCATTGACAACCTTTCGTCTGATAATTTCTTCCCTGGTTACCAGTAAATTTACTGTAATCATTTATAATATATTCTTATCCGATTGTTCTAAACTTAAAGATATTTATATTTATAAAACTTTCACTAGTTTCACTTTGTATTTTACTAATTCTTTAAATATCTATTCAAGATCTTAATATCGATAACTGTATTACGGATTAATTCTGTTGCATACCTTGTTACATAACAGTGATTACGCTAACATGAATTTTTTAAGCGACAGCTTGTAAAGTTTAATACACGATTATAACGCAAGAAAACTATCTTTATAAACACTTAAACTTAAGAAAAAGCAAATAGAGTTTCAAAACGTTGCGATTCATAGAATATCAGCTTACAAATTAATAGACCGCTAATCTTAAATACCCATGATTCTATTTCACGAAATCTAACAATAAACCACCTACCAGACATTTAACAACGTTCCCATTCCTCTTTAACACTAGGTTTACATTTATTGTACAGTTTATTCTATTGTTCCTGGGGAAGTTAATATTCGTTCATTTAGATCTTGGAAATTGTAAACGTAGGAATAGACAATCAGAATTCATATTCGTGTAATTGGATCAACGAAAACCGATTCAAACATTTACCAAATAATGTTTATAAAATTCAATCTGCGTCAAATTGACGTGTTCCGTAAACATAGTGTTAAACTGCCCGAAACTTCCAATTGAACGAATGAGTCCGCGAGTGATCCTCGTTTCTAGAAAACAATCAACAGAAGAATCCGTATTTACATGAAAATTCCCAGCCAAATGATCAGACTCCACCGGAAGGGGTTGTCATCGAATGAAATTCGCGCTGGCGCAGCGATAGAAATCTTTCATGTAAATTTTCCCATGCAGCTTCGAGTGCCGGCACGCTGCTGTCCCTTTATTTTCATTTTTCGCTCGGCACTCGAGGTAAAAATTCTTTCCCCCGGGGGATTTCTATCTCTAGCTAGACATCGGTGGTTGTTTTCGTGTTCTCGCCGGGCGCACCGGAATCCTTTCTTCTTGTTTCCTTTTTCGTGCTTTTCCCATTCTTTCGTTTTCGTCTTTTTCCCTTTCAACCAAGTAAGTCAAGTGTCGGCGACGGTAGATAGGGCCTCATTTACAAGGCAGACGGGGTAGGCCACTTGGCCCAAATACGGGAGAGGGTATTCTGCCCAGTGGATGCGACTCAAAACTTAAAATAACCCTCTCTCGATAAGAACGCCAGGCGCATAACATAATTCTTGTTTTCGTCGTGCCGACCTGCCCGGAATATTTTACGCATTCAATTTCGACGGCGGTACCGTCGAATCGATCGTCAAACGAACAATCGGGTAGACTGATCATTCGGTCTGTCTATCGTAGGACAGATGTACCTTATTCTTCAAATTAGCGTGTTAATTCTAAGACAGAAATTTTTTAGACTTTCTTAGGGTTCTCGTGGAAACTAGTATTTATTATGTTTATTATATCCAAGGAAAAATGAAAGGTAGATCCGAAGGCAAACTGGATCGTCGTATTTTTAACAGCGAAGAAATAAATATATTTGAACATTAATAAATGGCGGAACAGAATGTTTAAATCTTCCTGTTGCAAATGAGAAACGTGAGACGTGAGAAGTATAGTTCGCGATGTAACAAATGTGGACTGGATTCTTGTTATGATCTGATTCGTCTCGGTAACCTACCTATCCGGTTTTTATAAATATTAATAACCAGTATTCTTTTTGTAAATATAATTGCACTGGAGGAAGTAAAATCATCGTGTTTAATGATACCTTGATGATACCGTTAATTTGAATTAATGAGACCACGAAGGAACGTTTTCTAATGAAATATTTTTACTTCTGGATTTTCGTTTTGATCTTCTAGCTCGATTTTTAAAGGGGAATGAATGATTTTATTATAAAATACTGTCATCGGGATAGGGAATAAACTGGACGAAAATAATCTTTGGAAACGCGATCATTCTGGTATGTTAAAAATATTTGAAAAGAAGGGTTGCGTTATCAAAAATATTTTTGTTAGCAGCAAAGGTGGCGATAATGTTTTCCTACGCCATACATGCGTACGGCGGCTTCAAAGGGATGCCAGGGATGGTTCCGATGCTTTGAACTTACTTTTAACTCGTTCGCTTTATTCAGCTGCCTTTATAAACTCTCGCGATAGATAACACGATTTACATGGATATAAACTGGTGTTCCGTAAAATCGTTATTTATTAACACATTGCGTACCGACTAATTTTCAGAAAACTGAATTGCGCGGATGGCAATTTTCAGTGAGATCAATTTATATGACTATACATACAAACATTCAGATATCATATTGTTATATAATATATTTTAAATAGATAATCAATTCGAATCAAATTTAATATTTTTTTAAATGCTATGGTAAACAACAAAGTTGCATGGCTAAATGTCTTTATAAAAAACGCGATTTCTCGTTACCAGTACGCAATGAGTTAACACTAGGTTTACGGGCATTTATTGTACACTTGATTCTATTATTCCTAAAAGAATCGATGCTCGTTTATTTAGATTGTGGAAACTGGGGATTTGATAGTAGGTAATTGGGGTACATGTCAGTGTGATCGCATCGATCAAAATCGGCGTAAACAATTACAAAATAATATTTCGAAAATCCAATATGCGTCAATTTGACGGGTTCCTTAAATCTAGTGTTAAGTATTTATAACAGAAATCCGGACAGATAAATAAAGAAACCATAATATTTAGCGAATACAGACAATTCTTACTATTGGGCGCAGATACTACAACACAATAAACTGAAAGAATGATTTATGAAATAAACAAGCAAAAAATAAACACTTCTTGAAAACTATGATAGCAGAGGCGAATGACGAATCGACGAGTTAACTCGCTCGGTAAAACTGTGGAGACGTTGATATTATTTCTCTAGCAATATTAAAAGTCCTGTCCAATTTATTGTAAGTGAATGAACGAATGAGGAAAACATAATTAAATTTGCATTCGGAAAAGAGTGTGCGTTGGACTGACTTGCAGTTTTCGGCTTCTGTTGCAGGTACTGATGACGAATAATCCCAGCAAAACCGGTCTCGGCGCAACGAGCGAATTTCCTACAATCGAACTAGATTCGACGACGGAAAAGAAGCAGGCGATGTGGCGAAAGACTCAGCAACGTTATAAAGAAATCACCGATTAGTCGTGATAATTGCGTCGTACACGCTCGTCTGGTGAAACGCTCTCGCTGTGTTTCTCGTCACGGCGATTGGGGACAATTGCATTTTTCTTGTTACCACGAATTTCAACTTTGCCGCTACACATACATTACTAATCACTGATCCAAGCAATAAATATTTATATTGACAAGCAATCGTTGAGCTTAGTACAAATTAACGTTACCACGCCCGAAATGAAGCATACCCTCGGAAGTACGCGCAGACCCGACGCATATTTTCGTCGCCCGGTTTGTACGCTGATCAGATTTTTTTCCAATAAACGACTTGAACGCGGGTGGAAATTGATTGTATCCAATTTTATACTCGGTTAACCACAGTCCCAATAAATCCACCGATAAAAATCGATGCTAATTCAATACTCCAACGAAGACTCATTAACGCGGATACTGAAACGAGAAATTCTAAGCGTGGTGTAAAATCCCGTCGTTCAAATAATTGTAAGCTATCGATAAATTATCCCGCTTGTTCATTTAACGGAATTACTAAACCGTAGCAGAGATACAGGTTAGGAAACATGAGCCGCGGATTTTTATGTATCCGTGGCAGTTAAGCGATCCCGAGACCGCGATCAAGTGTAAATTCCGATGGAGTTTAGCTCTTATCTCATTTTCCCCATTTGGAAGAGACTATCGGCGAAGGTGTTTCTAGGATTCTATTTCCGTTTCATAAATTCCGGGTGACCACGAGGAGCCAAATCAATCCGGATATTACGCGGGCCGATTAGAGCGTGGCCGTTGACGGGGATCGTTCCGGTCGAAAGCGGCCTGGAAATCGTGACAAATGTCGCGAGCAGGCCGCGGTGGCGCCGTAAAAATAATGAAGATCGAGCCACGCTGGAAGTAGTTTATTATGAAAGACGCGCGATGTGCCGAAGGAGTTAAGGGCTCGGCCTAAACTCGCGGCTCGCTCCGCGCACTTGCCCTGGGGTCTTTGCACCGTGAAGTTTGCTTTATAAATATCGCCGGTGCACTGGAGTGTCTAGAGAAACGAACCGTGTCTTGGATGAAACGGACGGTCTAGCTCCCCGCTTCAATTGCGACCGATCCG